GGATACATAATTAGATTACCATTAGATATTTATAATAATTTAAGGCTGAGGCAGGAGAATCTTGAGTTCAAAGCCAGCCTCAGCAAAAGCTAGACTCTCGGGGCTGGGGTTGTAACTCAGTAGTAAAACACTTGGCTCACATGCATGAGGCTCTAGGTTCAATCCTCAGCACCACATAAAAATAAGTAAATAAAATAAAGACATTGTGTCCATCTACAAAAAAAAAAAAAAAAAAAGCTAGACCCTTTCTCTAAAATTGAAAATAGGGTTGGGGATGTGGCTCAGTGGCCAAATGCTCCTGAGTTCAATCCCCTATACCCCCGCCCCTGCCAAAAAAAAATTGGACCACTGGCTAGATTACTATTAGTTTGATCATTTTCTCTCTCTTTCTTTTCCATACTGGGATTGAACCTGGGCTTACTTTCACTGAGTTACATCCTTACCCTTCTTCTATTTTTCATTTTGAGATGGGGTCTCACTGAGATGCTGAGTCTGACCTGCCTTAGTCTCCCAAAATGTTGGAATTATAGGCATGCACCACTATGCCTGGCTGTTATATATTTCTTAAAACATTCCCCTTGTTTACTTTTTGCCTACTTGATTTGTTGAAATGGAGACTATGTCAAAGATTCCACTACTGTTGCATTACTGAAAATGTACCCTGGTATTTAAAAAAAATGCCTGCCTGTATTTCATTATAATTATCATCAGCATACAGAGATATGACTGCTATTGTGGTACTAAGGAGAATGCCACTCATTAATGTAATAGAAATGGTCCTTTTTGCTAATACATGATGCTTCTGGCCTTTAATTTCTCTTAATCTGATTGTATTTTCATTGTTTTCTTCCTGTATTTTCCTCTTACTTTTTTCTCATTCATGTCATTTTATATTCCATGGATCTCAAAAACACCAGCTTTGCACTCAATCTGCAGTTCTTGGACTTTAATATGTGTGGATTTACTTGTCATTTTGTTTCATGTGGTGTTTTCATATTTCTTTGCATTTCCATTGTTTTGAAATATGGATCTCATTTTCTTTGCTTTCATCTTCCTTTGGAGATAAACACATACACACACACTTAAATTTTTCTAGTAGTACTTAGTTTTCAAAGTTTCCCAAAAGCATTCCTTAACTTGTATTTCTCTGTCAAGATGAAAAACCATATCTTCATCATGTTTGAGCAGATTGACTAACCTTTCATTTTCTTATTGCTTATTGTTCCTCCCCACCCAATTTTTGTTAATGTAATTTTTTAATATTTATTTTTTAGTTGTAAGTGGACACACAATATCTTTATTTCATTTTTATGTGGTGCTGAGAATAGAACCCAGTGCCTCACATGTGCTAGGTGAGCACTCTACCACTGAGCCACAACTCCAGCCCTTGTAAATGTAATTTGTTTTTTTTTTTAAAAATATTTTTTAGCTGTAGATGAATACAATAACTTTATTTTATTTATTTATATTTTTATGTGGTGCTGAGGACGGAATCCAGTGCCTCACACATGCTAGGCAAGTGCTGTACCACTGAGCCACAACCCCAACCCATAATCTTGGTTTTAAAATATAGATTATTGTAAAAAATTTTAAAAATTATCTCCATCAAGGATGTTTTGATACTGGGCTGGGATTGTGACTCAGTGGTAGAGCGCTTGCCTAACATGTGTGAGGTACTGGGTTCAATCCTCAGCATCACATAAATATAAATAAATAAAAATAAAGGTATTGTGTCTATCTACAACTAAAAATATTTTTAAAGAAAGAATGTTTTGATATTGATTCAACTTTCTTTTCTAACTGTTCCTATAATATTTAAATCTATCTTTATTCCAGTCATTTTTGGAGCTCTGGGACAATACTTCTATGTCATTACTTCTTTATTTTCATCTCAGGTTTTTTCTCTTGTTCAATTGAAATATGACTCCAATTTTTTTTGGAAAAAAATTAAGTGGGTATATTTTCTGAAATATCTGAGTTTATTTCTTTATCTTGAGCTCCAATTCTCCTGTGAATTGGAGAAACTTTTCTGTTATTTGTCAGGTACCCAGTCTATGACATTTTTACCCTCACAGTCCAAATGGACTAAGGCAGGTGTTTTAGTCAGCTTTCCATCTCTGGGACCAAAAGATCTGACAAGAAAAATTTTAGAGGAGGAAAAGTGTATTTGGTGGCTCATGGTTTCAGAGGTCTCAGTCCATTGACAGCTGGCTTAGAGATGAGTTTGAACATCATGGCAGAAGAGTGTGGTGGAGGAAAATGTCTCAGGACATGGTACCAGGAAGCAGAGAGAGAAAAAATTCCCTTCACCATAGACAAAATATAAACCCCAATGGCACACACCTATCAACCCAGTTTTCCCAGCCACTCCCTACCTTCCCACAGTTATGACCCAGTTAACAGGTGATCGATGCACTGATTAGGTTTAAGGCTCTCATAACCCAATTATTTCACCTCTGAACTTTCTTTCTTTTTTTTTAAATGAGTGTTCATTTATTGATCACTAAGAAAATAAAGCCTACTGAGAATACATGGCATGCATTTGAGGGAGAAATTAACTAAATCTGCTCTGAAGCCATTCAATAATCCTGCTATGAAGTATGTAAGGTAGCACAGACCAGCTCTAAGGACATGGGAGGGATGACTCAACCAGCCAGTCAGTTTTGTTAAGATTCAAACTGCCAAATTCTTTTGGAACATATTTTTAATTTTATTTTTTTCCCATTCTTTTTTAAAAATTTTTTATTGTTGGTTGTTCAAAACATTACATAGTTCTTGATATATCATATTTCACACTTTGATTCAAGTGGGTTATGAACTCCCATTTTTACCCCGTATACAAATTGCAGAATCACATCAATTACACATCCACTGATTTACATATTGCCATACTAGTGTCTGTTGTATTCTGCTGCCTTTCCTATCCTCTACTATCCCCCCTCCCCTTCCCTCCCCTCTTCTCTCTCTACCCCCTCTACTGTCATTCATTTCTCCCCCTTGTATTATTTTCCCCTTTCCCCTCACTTCCTCTTGTATGAAATTTTGTATAACCCTGAGGGTCTCCTTCCATTTCCATGCAATTTCCCTTCTCTCTCCCTTTCCCTCCCACCTCTCATCCCAGTTTAATGTTAATCTTCTTCTCATGCTCTTCGTCCCTACTCTGTTCTTAGTTACTCTCCTTATATCAAAGAAGACATTTGGCATTTGTTTTTTAGGGATTGGCTAGCTTCACTTAGCATAATCTGCTCTAATGCCATCCATTTCCCTGCAAATTCTATGATTTTGTCATTTTTTAATGCAGAGTATTACTCCATTGTGTATAAATGCCACATTTTTTTTTATCCATTCGTCTATTGAAGGGCATCTAGGTTGGTTCCACAGTCTTGCTATTGTGAATTGTGCTGCTATGAATATCGATGTAGCAGTGTCCCTGTAGCATGCTCTTTTTAGGTCTTTAGGGAATAGGCCTAAAAGGGGAATAGCTGGGTCAAATGGTGGTTCCATTCCCAGCTTTCCAAGAAATCTCCACACTGCTTTCCACATTGGCTGCACCAATTTGCAGTCCCACCAGCAATGGGCTACGATCTACATACTGTGGGGTCGGGCTCCAAATTCCTCAATAGGACACCCATAGCACAAAAGTTAATAACTAGAATCAACAAATGGGACTTACTCAAACTAAAAAGTTTTTTCTCAGCAAAAGAAACAATAAGAGAGGTAAATAGGGAGCCTACATCCTGGGAACAAATCTTTACTCCTCACACTTCAGATAGAGCCCTAATATCCAGAGTATACAAAGAGCTCAAAAAATTAGACAATAAGATAACAAATAACCCAATCAACAAATGGACCAAGGACCTGAACAGACACTTCTCAGAGGAGGACATACAATCAATCAACAAGTACATGAAAAAATGCTCACCATCTCTAGCAGTCAGAGAAATGCAAATCAAAACCACCCTAAGATACCATCTCACTCCAGTAAGATTGGCAGCCATTATGAAGTCAAACAACAAGTGCTGGCGAGGATGTGGGGAAAAGGGTATACATATTTTTAATTTTAAAAATCGCCGGGAAAGAAGGAAGCTCGGTCTTCCCCTTTATCTTAAACTAATGCTATGAAGGATGTTGTCAATCATTTAAATACCACGCCGCTCCCCAACAATTATGCTCACTTTAAATTTTAAGGCAATTCCACTTTTACAAATTCTTCCATATCAAATCATATGCCTCAAAATTAAAAGCAGCTATGTGGATTCAGAAAAGATTAACTGATGTCAAACAATGTACTCATTAGATTCCAGAATCTACTGCTGAGGTACTCCAACACTAGCAAATCTTTATGCCCACACTGCAAACTGCCCCCACAGATGTGTTTTAAATCACTGATACAATAAAATGATACAAATTAAAGAATTCCAGTTACATTTAAAAGTACAGAAAGATTAAGCTTTAAAAATATTTTTTAGGATACCTTACACAATAATTAAAAACTGTTTAATTATGTATGGCATATTTAACACAATTGCTATAACTGGATAAAATGCTGAAATGTATCCATAACTACAGAGTTACATGCCACATATTTTCCCCAGACTTTGTAGTGGATAGTTTTTCTTAAAATGATATCAATGTCCCCTGATGTTCAAATAATGTGGACTGCTTTTTATGGTTTTATGGTATCTGGGAATAAAAAACAGAAAGCTATACTCCAATGGAATAAACATGGGACAATTTGGCATTTTGTTCCTTTTTTTTTTTTTTTTTGAGAGAGAGAGAGAGAGAGAGAGAGAGAGAATTTTTTTAATATTTATTTTTTAGTTTTCGGCGGACACAGCATCTTTGTATGTGGTGCTGAGGATCCAACCCGGGCCGCACGCATGCCAGGCAAGTGCGCTACCGCTTGAGCCACATCCCCAGCCCCCCATTTTGTTCCTTTTTAATGAGGCAGTCTGTTCCTTTCATGACCATCTTTTCTTCATGATTTAGGAAGGAATCAGTTATGGCTTACAGCACTGGACAAATCGAGGGTACAAGCATATATCTCGGATGTGATATCTATTCAGAATCCAAGTCAGGAATCGTTCTAAGCCCAAGCTGAATCCTCCATGAGGACATGTACCATATTTTCTCTGATCTGTGTACCAGTAATAAGGAGTGGGGTCAATCCCTTCCCTTTTATAACCTGCCAGCATTTCTTCACTATCCCAGATACGCATTGAGCCTCCCACAATCTCACCAACATTGGGCATCAACACGTCAACAGATTCACTAAGGCGGGAATCCTCAGGATATTGCTGCATGTAGAAGGACTTGATCTCCACAGGAAATCGACACAGAAAGATTGGTTCATTAATGGTGTCTGTCATCAGTCTCTCAGGAGCTTCTGGGATATCTTCTCCAAATTCATAGAAAGTCCCATTTTCTTTCTTTACATTGTGTTCTTTTAGCCACACAATAGCATTGGAGTAGTTCATCCGTTTGAAAGGCCGTTTAGGGGGTTTAAAATTCGGGTTGAGGTCATACACTATACTTGCTGCCGGTGATTTTAAGACTCTATCTACCATGTCACAAACCAAGTCCTCCAGTCTGTTCAGGAGATCCTCAAAAGGCCAGGAAAGGGCACTCAGCTTCCACGTGAGTGTACTCAGCCAGGTGCCTTCATGTTCTGGATTGTTCTGCTCTGTATGACTGTGCAATACAAAAAAACATCTCCCAAGGATGGAAGGCAGGTCTCCAGGTACAACTGAGAGGACTGAGTCAAAAATGCCTCTTCCCCGAAATAGTCAAGCTTGAAGAGCTTGGCACCACCTTCTACCTGTGTCTGCACCAACGTTGGAGGAGTAACTTCACAGTACCCTATATCAAAGAAGTGATCTCTGGAGCACCTGGTGATCATGGAACGTGGTTTTAGGATTGTGGACATATTTTCTCCTCGGATCATCATGTGCCTATTGTTCAGCTGGACATCAACATCAGATTCTTTATTAAGTTATCTGCTCCTCCAGCAGGGGCCAACCCCATAAGTTCCCAGAAGTCACAACTCAGCTCGTGGCCCCCTGGAGCCTGCTTGCCCTCTGGAGTAAGATTTAGCATTCCATATACAGCAACACTACTCTCAGTAGACAAAACTACTCCATGGTAACACTGACACAACTCATCCGACAAGACATACTGAAGATAACCCGTACCATCCCGCAACCCCAGGAACATTAAATTCTTTCCTTGCCTATGCAGCCTATGGACCTGCCACAGTCTGGCTGCAGCAAAATAACCGGGGGGTGACGAACAACTTGTGTACATTGATACAGCAGGAGTGGGAGCCGTTTATTGTAGGACAGGAGCGGTATTTATACATTCCACACAGCTTACCTTAATTAACATAAACTAGATACAGCAGTCAACCAATAAGGAATCTCCACACTTAATGGCTCGCTGGCATTACTTCACAAACCACTCCCTCTGGCATTTTGCCAGGCGCCATCCAGACTTGTTTACGGGCTCTAACATTTCCCCCTTTTGTTTAATTTAAATAACGACCATAGTGGTTTTTACATAAACACCATAAATAATCTGCTACAAGCAGAAGGGGAGGATACAAAATGCCACAATACCAAGCCAATTGATGGCTCCATGCAAGAAGCCCTTGGAAAAATTATACCAGCAATGACACTGTTTGCAAAGATATCCAGTTACAATTTGTTGTAGATTACAGTTTGTTGTCTCAGTCCAGGTAAAGCAGTGTCTCAATAGATTAACTCACAGTCCAGGTAAATCACAGTCCAGGTAAGTTCTGCAGGCAGCTAGCTTAAATCACAGTCCAGGTAAGTTCTGCAGGCAACTAGCTTGATCCGAAGTCTCGTCCGTTTCTCAGCCGAAGTCTCGTCCGGTTTTCAGCAACACTGGAAATTCTTCTACCTTTGTCCTCACCGGTACTGGGACGAAAGGCAGGAACTCCGGATGGCTAAAGAAAATCCTGTAGCATTCTACTAAGAAAACAACCTTCTGAACAATTTAGTAGTTTATCTCAAGGTTTTTCTGCATTTGAAATAAGCATTAATAGTGCTCATTACTCATCAGCTTCCAGGTGTGGGAGAACCATTGTAGCTTAGTTATTGGCACTGAAAATGACCAAACATCAGGGACGCCAGTAGCGTCTTCTGCCGGCTGTAGCATCCTGGGCAGCCCCAGATGGCCCTGGGGAGTGTCCTGGACTCAAAGAGCCTGCAAGACTGTGCCTCCAGGTCAGGTTTGGATTTGGGCTCTTGCAGTGGCGTCCCGCTCCCCGGGCGGGGGGCGGGGAAGAGCCCACTGCCGGCCGCTTGGAAAAACCTTGCTGCACCATGAGCGTTTTGCGCACGTGGCAGCCACCACTCCGATTCACGCACCCTCCGGTAACGAAAGTATTCAGTAATAGCCTTTTGTTGCAACTTTTTTCCTGATAATCCTTCCTCTGAACTTTTTTCTTCTTTCTGACTAGAGTTCCTGGGCTCTTATCAACACATGCCCTAATTGCTCTTGGTTCCACTGGGGTGCCTCTTTCCCTTAGTAATTTACTTAACACCCCTTCCATATTTTCGTCACAAAGACAATACAGTACACTTAGACAAAACAAGACACAAACATACTCTATCAATCTTCTCCATTTTCTCGAAATGGCCATTTTTCCTCTCACCCTATCTGCCTAGGGACGAGCAAATTTGCTCCCGTCCTATCTATGGACGGGCAGCTTTTTTTTTCGTCACTTACCCCCGAGTGTCCCGGGGCTCCCCGTAACGGGCCACCATCTGCCGCAGTCCGGCTGCAGCAAAATAACCGGGGGGTGACGAACAACTCGTGTACGTTGATACAGCAGGAGTAGGAGCCGTTTATTGTAGGACAGGAGCGGTATTTATACATTCCACACAGCTTATCTTAATTAACATAAACTAGATACAGCAGTCAACCAATAAGGAATCTCCACACTTAATGGCTCGCTGGCATTACTTCACAAACCACTCCCTCTGGCATTTTGCCAGGCGCCATCCAGACTTGTTTACAGACTCTAACATGGACCCAGCCAAAAACCTTTACTCTCTGGCCTCTATATCCTTCTAATACATGAATCTTCACACATTGTGGCTCTGGCAGACTTGGAACATTTTTAATGGTAATCTTCTTTGCTTCTTCGAGGTTCTTTTCTCTTCGCAAATTATCTTCTGCCTCTTTCTTCTCTCGGGATTCACTCTTCATTTGCTCCCTATGCCACATTTTCCTAATGTTCTTCATCTGTGATTCAGACATAATGTTCTACCTCTCATTTTCTTTTTGTGAATCTTCATAAATGGTAGGAAATGGATCTTTTCCTACTGTCATCAAATCTTTTAGGCCTGTTTTAAATAGTTTCTCTTTGGTTCCATCTCCCGTGGCACCATTTCCCTCTCGATCTGAGACATACAGCTCTGCTAGCACCATCCCTGCAGTCGCCCTGGTCACCTCCAAGGACATGGTCCCAACACCGCCGCCGCCCAGTCATCCCAATATGTGAGAAAAGCTCACCTCTGAACTTTCTTGTGTTGTCTCACACATGAGCTTTTGGGTGACACCTGTCTCTAGCAGGGGCATGTACAATTCTGGAAGCAAAATGTAAGTTTTTCTTGAAATCTTTAAAAATGTTTTTTATATTCTCCTTTGAGTGTTACAGCATATTATATTTTAATCCAAAGCAGGAAAAATTAGGGGCAGTGTGGTGTAGTGTCTAAGAGGGCTGAATTTAGTAGCTTGCTAACAGTGACTCTTGGCTTCTCTCTATCACTTACCTTCTTATTAGTTAGTCACAAGGCCTTGGGGAAGTTAGACCTTTCCTACTATTTTAAGGAAACTAACAATGGTATTTAACCTCACAGGGTAACTGTGAAAATTCAGTGGGTCAATTTATACAAAGTACTTGGCCTACTACCTAAGATAGACTTCTGTTTCATTTTGGACTTTTTTCTGGGAATATCAGTTGTCTAAATTTCAATCTGTCCATTATTTTTCCTTCCTGGTCATCTTCTTATCTCTCATTGTTTTTGTCCTTAGTCTTTTCCTTTATATTATGTAAGAAAATATAAATATCTCCTAAATTTTTCTTTTGTCAAACCTGCCCTTTTCTTCAACCTAGATTGTATTTCTGCTAATAAGCTTATAAAACTTTAAAAAATAATAACATATAATGCACAGGAAGGAAAGTATAATCCTAAATGTGTATCCTGAGAAATTGCAAGAGAACAATCCGTGTATCACGTTTCAGGTTAAAAAACAGAATGCATTCCAGAGGCTCCCACATGAAGCCAAACACAAACCCCAGTCTCCTCCTCAAGGTAGCATTCTTCTGGCTTTGTTGGTAATCACTGCCATACCTTTTCTTTTTTAATATTGGGTAACCTAAGTAGGCATTCCTAAACCTTGTAGGTTAGTCTTTAAACTTTATATACAAGGAATCGACCAAGGACCAGACCATGGCTCCTTGGTTTTTTACCATGATCTAGCTCCTTCCACAAGTCACTCTATTTGTGAGCTTCATCTATGTTGTAGGCTTCTTGCCTTCATTTCTGTGCAGTCTTCCATCATTAGTGGGTAGCACTGTATCATCCCCTCTACAGCTGGGTGGTTGGGCGTTGTATGTTTTTTGGCTACTACAAACAACACTGCTATAAATGTCCTGAACTTTGAATCCTGATGCCCTGTGACATTTCTTAGGGTAAATTTCATATCCACGAAAGAGTTTCTTGGGTAATAAAGCATCCATACAATCAGTTTGCCAAACAGTCACCAAAACTGCGCTGTGTGCTATCGTGTTTTTAATTCCCTTAAAATCACTCATCATTTTACTCTCTCACTTTCAGGTCCTGCTTCTCTTTGTTACAGCCTAGGTCTTTTTATACTGTACTTACTGAGAAGGGCAACTGTGAAAATTTTCTTCTGTCCCTCCTTGCGTCTCCTTCTGCCTCTGTGTGCATACTTATTGCCCCACTATTTTCTTGAATTTGTCATCTCTGCCCAGATGAAGAGATTTGGAGGAGTGGGCTGGGGAAGGACAGAGTCGTTGAGAAAAACCCACAGAAGCACAGCTGCCTTATTCCCTAGTTGCTTCACTGTTCTGCTCTGAGTCAGGGGACCAATGGTGTGGTCAGCTTTGCTGTGTATTTTGTTTTTTTTTTTGGTACTGAGGATTGAACTCAGGGGCACTCAACCACTGAGCCACATCCTCAGTCCTATTTTGTATTTTATTTAGAGACAGAGTCTCACTGAGTTGCTTAGCACCATGCTTTTGCTGAGGTTGGTTTATAAACTCATGATCCTCCTGCGTCAGCCTCTGGAGCCACTGGGATTACAGGCGTGCCCATAATGACCAGCTTTGTTGTGTATTTTAATGGATCCCTTAGTGAAAACATGGAAGCAGTTTTTTTTTTTTAAAGAGAGAGAGAGAGAGAGAGAGAGAGAGAGAGAGAGAGAGAGAGAATTTTTTAATATTTATTTTTTAGTTTTTGGCGGACACAACATCTTTGTTTGTATGTGGTGCTGAGGATTGAACCTGGGCCACACGCATGCCAGGTGAGCGCGCTACTGCTTGAGCCACATCCCCAGCCCTGGAAGCAGTTTTATGGGAAGGTGTTCACCAGATTACACCTTGCTCTGACAGTCATAACATATTACATTTAATTAGCAAAGTAGAGAAATGTGAAGGCAGGGTATATATATTTCTAAATTTACTGAATTACAGTTGCATGTTGCTGGGCTTAATGATGGGTTGAGAGAGGAATACATTCTGAGAAATGTGTTCATTCTGTAGTTGTGTGAATATCCTAGAGTTTACTTACACACACATACATGGTCTAGCCTACTATGCACCTAGGCTATGTGGTTCATATAATTTTGTATATGGAGCAACATTGACCAAAATGTTATTATAGGGCATATAAAAACTGTTTCAGCTGGAAACATCATAGTAAAGATGCATTAGTCTCTTCAAAGACTAAATCCATTTTGTCATTTTATGGAGTAATGGCACTGAGATTTTATCTCACCTTTTGAGATATTAAACTAGTTTTATAAAAGTCAGCATTAAAGAATATCATTGATGACATGTAGTGAACTGAAGATGTCAAGATAGACAATCCACATAATTAAAAATGTACCATCTTTCACATACCATCAGCATGATAGGTTCTCTGAACAGTAAAGACATTATGTTTTTCTGGAATAGTTGTATTTTTAAATGGACTGGCATAGTGGTTTTCAAATCTGACTGTGTATCAGAATTAATTGGGGATCTTGTCAAAGTGCATACTTATTTGCTGTCATGCCCAGATTTACTGAGCCAGCATATACATGGGTGTGCTGGGATATGGGTGTGCATTTTAAAGAGGACTGGGGTACTCTCTCTTCTCTTTCTAGGCTTCTGGGACACTACCAGGATAGATGCACCTGGGCAAGAGGCATCACTGAATCTGATCTCAGGTCTGGTCTTCTGATTCCAAGGGCTGGGGATAATGGTTGTACCTCGGGCTACAATGTCTATGAAGGCTATATAATGGGGAGGGGACAGCAATATGGGCATTGCAAGTAATGCACAAAGACTTGTATTTAAAGTCAAGTTTTTATACCTTAAAACGGATGGACCTTGACCAAGTTTACTTTCTAGAGCTTCAGTTCTCTTAACAAAGAATGTAGGAAAATATTAATAATGTCATTGGGTTGTTGTTGAGAAATTGAAATTTTCTGAGAATCTGTTTGAGTTATTTGTTGTTGCCTATCAAACCCAAAACTTAATGGGTTTAAAGCAGTAAAACTTTATTTTCTTGTGGCTCTGCAATATGGGCCCAAATGGATAGTTCTGCTAATTTCACTGATGGCCACTCCTCTGGCTTGTCAGCTTGTGGGTCAGCTGGGGGTTGGGACGGTAAGGCTTCTCTCTCAGTACCTCCAAATTCCCATGGGCTCAAAAGCAGAAGTTCCAGGTCACAGTGTCCTTTCTGCTGCATTCCATGTTTAAACTAGTTATGTGGTGAACCCTCAATGAAACCAGAGGCAAGCACAGTGTGAATATTGGGAATTTGGGGTCATTGGTCACTGATGTAATAGACTGTCGCAACAATTCCTGCTGTGGTAGATACTGACAAAGGGGCGGGCATACAAGGGAGTAAAACTGATGTCTAAAGGTTGCATTCTAGTAGGACACACTGTGAACATACAGGTACTGGTAAGTAGTAGTGGAGGCTATCAGGCCTCATCAAAGTGCCAAATCTCAGCTAAGAGTTCTGTTTGGGGCTAGAATGCTCAGGCAAGGTCATGATGCATTCTGGATGAGGCTGATTCTTGAGAGAATGATCAGAGTCTCCCTAGGAGGGAAGTGGTCAGTTGTGTGCCTCCAGGGTCTTAAAGCTCTGTAGTATTTTATGCCCCACACCTGGGATGATTGATGTGCCTTTGAACAGCCACTTCATTTTAGGGTCTTTCTAGGTTACCACCATTCCCTTGATGGCATCTGATGTGTTAGGCAGAGGTTAATTCAGGAGGAAAAAAAATAGGGGCATGTGCAGTGAGTGCAGAGAGGAAAAAGCTTGGCACACCCGGGGCAAGGCTGAGGCTGTTATTTTTGGGCTGGTTACCTTTAGGGGGAATGTACTTGTATCTTCTGGAGGAACCAGGTTGTGTTTCAATTGTCATGGTTTTCTAAAGGCACAGGAAATGGGAGCATCTTCTGTTCCTGAAATTGCTTGCCTCATGAGATAGGATTTCCATTTTAATTCCTCTTCTGGAAAGTCACAGAGAGCTTACCGTTCTATATCTGTCTTCATGTTCGGATGGTAAAATTTCAGGCATACTTGAAATTCACAAAGGACTTGACTTTACATGCAAAAATCTTTATTAATGAGCAAGTATCCTGGAAAGGAAAAGCTCTTAGAGCCAAAATACCTAGGTTCAAGTTCTGAGTCTTCAAATCCCTGAACTTCTCTGGCTCTCTGTCTATAAAGTAGGTTTACACGATTGATTCACTGAGTTAGGAGAATTAAATAATTAAATGATACATAAACAATACAGTAATTCTCAACAATCTGACAATTTTAGAACACCACGTAAATGTTGTTTAGCTACCTCAATTACTTTGTGGAATAAAGTAAAACATTCATTGCTATTGTTATCCAATATCTGGAGAATTCAGTAAATATTGATTGAATTTATACATGAATTTAGAAGAGTCCTCCTCCCATTAACCAGATATTTTGATCAATTTGGGGCTGAATAAGTGGTAATGTAGTTGTACTAATTATATTAGTACATTAGTAGGATAAATGTAATGTAATTAAGCTATGCATATGTTTTACTGGTGACCTAATATGACTTTTAAATCTGAAGGTTTCTTTCATACTATCAAGCCTCTATGGTGTCAGTTCTAGAAAACTCTAGTGAACATGGATAAATGGTTTTCATAGGCCCTTAGACTAAGAACAGAAAGATTTTAA